GTTTAAAATACTATTTCATTTAGGTCTCTATTAATTTTCGATCGCTAGATATTTGCTTTTATATATAAATTTTTTTTTTAGTTGAACTTTGACCTTGGAATTCAAGGTCGAGAAACTGTTTTTGAAGAATCTGAATAATTTTCCTGTATTCACCAGTATCCGGGCTTTATAATGCCGTTTAGTTTGTGTCTCTATCTGGTTTGGATCGGGAGATATTTGATTTTGTCAATTTTTTCTCAAAACAGAACACAGTGCGGCGGAAATGGAGCAATCCCACTCGGACTGTACAGAATGTGATTCCGAAATGGATGCCATTTTAGGACATAATTTCTTCATGAGAAATTTTGAGTACATTTAATTTCTGTACGAAAAGTTAGTAAATATCTGCGATGGCCTTTCCACTTAGAACAGAAGAGAAACGACGGGCATGCTTTGTTGAACCAGGCCAAAATCGCTGTGGCCAAATAAGAGGAAGAAGAAAGACTTCCTGCTGATGAGAAATAGTGTCAGTTGACGTTACTTTCGCTGACCTTTTTACACAACACCGTGTTTCGCTCTAATTTAGACGTATTTATTTCTTGAAGTGTGACAGTGGTGCAGTAAAAGGGCGATATGTATATTTTTTTTACCAAGTGATTTAATCAAGAGCTTTTACAAGCTTTTATTTTACTTGCTCTGTTTGTATGTATATACGTAAGTATGTTTGTTTGGGTGGAGTTTCGCAATCAATTTTTGACCACTTTCGCGATAATCTAGAGACTTGAAACTTCAGACTTGGCTTAAAACCCGATGACAACGCAATAAGAAAGATGAGTTAATCCGATGAGTGGCGCAGGAGTCAAGACATTTGGGAAACTAGTATTTAAGTTACGATCAGGGTTGCCACTGACCAAAAAAAAAATATTTACCATCCACTTGAAAAGAATTTACCAAATCTGGAAAATATCTACCAATAACTTTTTTTTAGCTATTCTAATAAAAACTATAGTTTTGTTCTATTTCCATAGAAATTAAAATATTTTATTAAGGAACTTTTTATTTAACTATTGATATGGTATTTGAGATCATATTAATGACATCTTCTCGGTTTCCTTCAACCAAAGTGAAAGTGATGAAACATAGGCAACAACGAAACTTCATCAATTGCAAAAAAATTCAACTGGATTTATTACAGACAAATACAGTGACTCAAAAAAACCCTTGGTGATTTTTGTTACATTCACAATGTTGTTCAAGTAATTATTTTTTTTTGTTTGCTATTTCGGTTTGTATAAGAATATTGCTTGCGATTTAACCAAACCCATAAAAATCAAGTATTCAAGCTGAAAAAATTACAAAAATTTTCGTCTAAATTTCGAGTTTTAAATCTGAATTTTTATAGTCGATGGAAGTTTAGTATACATAACAAACAATGTGGAAAGAAATTTATAATATACAGATAACTACGAGAAATAAAGCGGGAACGAAAAGTTTATTTGTGTTTCAAACAAAATACTTTAACAGAAATCTACCAAAATGAACAAAAATTTACCTTTTTACCAACCCAAATTTTTTCTACCAATTTCGGTAATAATTTACCCTGGTTACGATTTCGTTCATTTTCAGAAAGCTTGTTTTAAAATTATTTTTTTTTTTACTATTATCTTATTTTAAATTTATGTTGCTTGCAATATATTTATTCTAAAAATGTTTTATTTTTTTTTTAGATTCCGACCAAAAATGACAAAGACGGTGAAAAAACTCCTGTGGAGCGACCCAACTGGTCAAATGGATTGGAGTTTCTTATGTCATGCATCTCGATGTCAGTCGGACTAGGAAACGTGTGGCGATTTCCTTTTACAGCTTATGAGAATGGAGGAGGAGCTTTTCTTATTCCATATATTATAATTCTCTTTCTGATAGGTATGTGTGTTATCGAAAAACTATAAATACGTAAATACTTGTACCCCTGTTTTTTTTTATTTTGAAATATATATTTTACAGATTATATTTTTAAATTTATATTTTACAAATATGGGGGTAAAACAATGTTTAGTAAAAATGTACATATAGAATTCTTGAAAATAAATATTTTTTTTATCGGAAAACTCTTTTTCTCTTAACCCTGCTTTGATAACCCTACTGAAAATTGCTGAGAACATAACCATACGTCTGTGAGACGTATCTTGGTTTGCTAGCTTTAATTTTATTGTAATAAAAACTGTATGAATTTTTTTCTCAGAAATGGAGTTTACAAATGTGTATTTATTATTTAAATGCATTTTATTTAGAAATGTTCTTCATTTTAAATAGAAATACCACCGATTTCTATCTTCATTTCGCGAAAGCGAGAGCAAGAGCGAAAACTTTAAAAACCTAACGTCTCGCAGACATTCATAGGTTAGTAACGGTAAAATAAAAAAATTGGGTACTGTTATTGAAAGTCTCGTGGAGAGAAACATAGTTTTACGATCGAAAAATATTGATATTCAAGAACCATATCTACGAAACCTCCTAGGGGATGAGAGCATTAAAATTCGGACTTTACTTTTTTCACATGCATTATTACTAACAGAATTGTTAATTATGTATGTATATTCTTTCGTTTAAGGGAAGCCAATGTATTACCTTGAAATGGTTCTAGGCCAATTCACTAGCAAAGGCTCAGTGAAGATTTGGAGTGTATGCCCTTCTTTTCTAGGTATTTTCAATATTCTATACGTATTTTTTCCGCCCAAATAATTTGAATTTCGCTTTTTTGCTACTTCTAAAATTAGGTGTTGGATACGGTCAAGCGCTGGCAACTATATGTATCATAACTTACTATTCATCTCTATTGGCATTGACTTTGTACTACTTGGTGGTTTCATGCCAGTCGTTACTACCTTGGACGCAGTGTCGATCTGAATGGGGTAGCAGCTGTGTAGATTCATATTCAACTGGTAGTGCGAATGTTATCAGTGTCGCAAACTCAACTATCCAACTTCAAAGCAGTTCCGAGCTATATTTTTTGTAAGTTTCTTAAATATTTACACATCGCTAGTTTGCTGGAATCAACAAGCAAAAAAAAACTAGAGTTGGCGCCGTCAAGGTACTATTTTTATTTCTTTACAAATGAGGTGCGGAAAAGATCGAAATGAATACAGTCGAAGTTTGCTAATTTTCCTAACACCTTTTCATAACACTGGTTTTTAATTCGCAATTGCAATATTGTGAACTTTTTATTTTCCAAAAACACGGCTTTGACTCATATTGTGCAAGGAATTTCCGCCAAAATACTGGTGGACGATTTAAAAAAAGGTGATTTCACCTTATACGACACAAGTATATACATATATTGGTGCAATCATAAAAATATCAAATCATTTTTGATGTTGCAACAGCAGCTGGTAAAATCAGTGTTGCCGCGAATCATTTTTAGTGGTAGCGAAATTCCTTTAAAAAAAGGGCTAAAAAGAGCTAAAAAAAATGCCGTTGTGGCTAAAAATAGTAGCTAAAATTTGTTATTTACATATACATATATAAGTATACACGTAAACATTTTCAATAAGTAATGGTATAGAAAAACAATGAACTGTGGAAAAAAGCTAATATTTTATCCAACCAAAAACCTTTTTGTATTGTATTGTACCATTAGGCTCGAAGCATATAACCAGCATATACCAGCATGCTGGTACAGTATTTATTTTTTTACAAATGAGGTCCAGAAAAGATCGAAATGATTACAGGTCCAGAAAAGATCGAAATGATTACAGCCGAAAATTCATAATTTTTCTACCATTTTGTTAAACATTGTTTTTTTTTTTAATTCACAACTACAATATCGTGAACACAAACACGGATTTGACTCATATAGTGAAGAAATTTCCGTCAAAATACTTTTTACTTAGAAAATTGAGCTAATTTCACCACTCACGACACCAACATACTGGTACAATCATAAAATTTTCAAATAGTTTTTGAAGTCGCAACAGCAGCTGGTACAATCACACCACAAGAACATACACGGTCAATCGACTTGATGGGCCATTTAACAAATTAAGCATATTAAAGGCCGTAAACTTATCTATTTTAAACTATAGTTAAATCGTTAATAGATAAGTTTACAGCCCTAACACTTTTACAGTATGTATGTATAAAAACGTAAGGAACATACAATACATATATGTATATATATCAGTCTTTCTTAGTTTAAAAACGCATCTCTTACATAAATGAAAAAAATTAGATCAAATTAAGCATATACAACTTTTTCATGCCAAGTGTGAATAAATTCTCCCAAGGGCTAAGAAAAGGTCTAGGGGAAATTTTAAATTTATGTTGCCAAAAAAAGTATGTGGTAGCTAAATCTACCCACCAAAGGGCTAAAACGGCAACACTGGGTACAATCACATCACAAACACATACACGGTCAATCGGCTGACATGAACACTTGATCGCGCCAGCATGCTGGTATCGTGTATGGGCCTTTCAAGGCGAATTTAATAAGGTGGTGTCAGCGGTATATAAGTAAAAAATTACACTAACGATTTATACGCTGATATTCATACTGTCATTAGTATAATTTACAACAAACAAATAATTTTGACGTAAAGTTCTTCCCGGCGAAAAATTCACATCCTTATTAATTTCGCCTTGGGCCCTTTTAAGTATGTTGTGTTGAGTGGTTAAACTTTTTTTTTTTTTTAATTCATAAACGCTACCTCAAATTTGAACGCCACCGCATTTTGAATTTGGAAAATCTGATATCAGATGCGTAATCGGCAACCCCAGAAACCCACTGGTAACGACTTTCAACCGTTGACAAAGCTAACAATGTTCAGTATCAACGTTTTAATTTTAGTATTTTTTTTGAATTTGATCGCCATATTGGATCCGCCATTTTGAATTTAAAAATATTGACTTCAGATTCGTAATCTGCGACCCCAAAAACTTCCGAGTGCCGGGTTTCGAACAAATCCAATAATTAAAAAAAAATTGATCGCCAGTTTGGATCCGCCATTTGGAATTTTGAAAAACTGACTTCAGATTCCTAATTAGCAACTCCAGAAACCCCCTAGTAACAAGTTCCAACCCATGACAATGCGTAAGTCGTTCAGTAACAACGTTTTAATTTTAGAAGTCTTTTTTCGAAAACACATTTTCGGGCACAAGGCCCATTCTAACTGTCTAAAACGCGAGACAGATGGGCATGCTTATGCAGATAAACTAGCACATACATACATTCGCATAATAATTTTGCCTTGACAGGCGGAAGTTATGCGGATTAACGACCCGCAAGGTCGTGGGTTCCAGTCCCACGGCCAGAAGAATTTTCATTTATTTCGTTTTTATTTATTTTTTCATAAGTTCTATATTTTTTAACGTTGCTTTCAGTTAGTTGTTAATAAAATTCAACTCTAAAAATTTTAATTAACTAATAGTAAAATAAAAAATGTGATACAAAATAAAGCAAATGAAAATAAAATAAAGTAAAATTAAATATATAAATAAAATAAAATATATAATAACCACAAAAAATTTATGGTAATCGCTCCCACCGAGGATCGAACCTGGCAACTACAGGCTTGTAGCTCGCAACTCTCACCACTCGGCTGCCACGGACGCCAAACTCTCTTCTTTGTTTGCGTACTTGTACAAAAGACAACAGCTGGCCGTTTTTACCAGTGTTGTCATCGAAAATTCGTATCGTATTTGAAAGAGGAAAATGCCATGAGTTAATGCAAATAAAGGCTGTTATGCAAATAATCGAGCCCGTTTGTCACCCGTATAAGACAGGTATGTATGTATGTAATTAAGAGAATGTTCCCCAATTATACCAGAGTAACTAATTACATGTAAAAACCACATTTTTAGCTGCATTTTAACATGCCTCGAAAAAAAAAAAGAGAAATCAGCGTGTTTATAAAAACCCGCTGGTCGGTCGACCCTAGATCTTTTTTCAAAATTAAAAAATGCGTGTCTCTTTTTTATCACAAATATCAATATTTTGATGTAGCGTTTATGAGTCTTCAAAAAGAGTGTGAACCACTCTAATGCAGTGTAAAAAATTCGTAATGGTATTTGTGAATTGTGTATCACGGAAACAAACTTATAATCTACGATATGGTACTACAAATATAGAATACATACATATACCTACCCTCATCTGTTATTTGACGATGATAAGGATTATATACATTGACAAATTGCACATGGGTTACCTAGCTAAATCGCGCCGATGCTGTTAAATATTAGTTATGTATAGTAACTTCGTCAGTAAAAATTTCAGCGAGAGCGTAAACGCAATATAGAGCGTAAAAGCAATATAGAGCGTAAAATTGAGAAGAAGAGAAAACTAGCAGAAAAAGTTATTGAACACAAAACTAGTAAAAACCTGCAGGTGAACAGTTGTTGCACTGTTTTGACATTCTGCTGTAAACATTTTACTATTTATAAATCAGTTTTAATTTACTTTACACACAAGCACCTACACAGTCCAGTACATCATTAATATTTTGATTTCCACTCATTTTACTTTTGTTTATGTTTAACCAATTCAACAAATGGCAGGTTTTGACCTTTATTCTTGTTCTTCTTCTGCTGGATAATTTCTGCTAGTAAAAATTTCACCAGCAACAATTTGCAGATCTCCCGCTCTCGATTCAGTGCTCTCTTGCACATTTTTTGGGTTATTATACACTTTTCCAATAAAAATTTGCAGGTCCCAGTACAAATTAGTACTGATTATTTGTTACCATACACACCTATTATAAATTGTAATATCGTCAGATCTCCACCGTTCATACAATATTCAAAAATGAGCTCTCAAATTAAAGCTCCTGGCCAGTGAATGTGCACTTAAGTCACCTGTTAAAAATTCATTTTAAATTATTTAATAAGTTAGACAAATTGTTACAATATACTTCATTGGGAGGATCGCCACCTGTTTAAAAACACAAATTCAACTTTAATTAAGGGAATAATGTAATTGAAATATTTATCAATCACCTCGCTCTGACTAAAAACTTAACATCTTAAATCTAGGCAGCCTTGGATGTAACAAACCTTTGCTAAGACAACCTAATACCGTTGGGTAGAGAATGCAATAACAATAATAATAATCCATTTCATGCAGGGCTTCGAAGCGGAGCGGAGCAAAGGAGCAGGGAGGTAAGGAGCTAAGGATTTTGGCTGGAGCGGAGCTGGAGCAAAGAGCTAAAAAAATTCATTTGCTCCTTAGCTTCTTAAGCATAGTATTCTGTTCCTGTTTCACGTGAAAAAACTGTCAAAATTTCTTTCTGTGAAATATGAAAGCTGTTAAAAAGCTTGAAACATGTTGGCAACATGAAGCTAGCAACACAATTTTCATTGCAATTTAAACTACACATGTACATTTTAAATTTTGTGAAAACTGACAGTTCCCTGCAAACCATTTTTTCAGAGTATTCTGAATCGTAAAGAAATTTTAACGAATACGGAAAGATCCCATCCGATTTTTTTCCGAATTTTCTAAAATGAAATAAATTACGCACACTTCCATTCTTTTACGAAATTTCGGAAGAAAATCGGTGAAGAAATGAAAATAATGCTGCTATGTGAAGAATTTCTTGCAGACTTTTTTCAGAATTTTCTTTATTTTTCGTACAGAAATTTCTTTACGAGTTCGTGTCAACTACTTCATATAATTCAAAAAATCGTTACAGAAATCAGATACTCCTAAAGATTTCGTTAAGATTTCGGGAACTTTGGTTTGCAGGGTTTATAGAATTCAGTAGCGGCGAACTCAAAGGGGGGTTATGGGTTAAACCCGATCGTACAACTTTATTTCACATAAAAGAAAATTGCGGATTACTTATTATCATATGACTGGTTCGAACACTCCAAGAGTTTGATAAATATTTTAGTTAGTGAACTAATGTTTGTACATAAGGGTATACCTAACAATGTAGAGATGGGTAACTCAGCGCTGAGTGGAGCTATTGAGATGACCCCCAGCAGTGTGTCGCACGCTCAGACTCACTTCGAAAAAA